TACACTATTATTCTTAAATTACTTTTCTTCATAAGGAAAACTGCTTGTCACTGTTTTTATCGTGCCATCAATGAATGGTTGCTGAAAAGATTTCTGTGTAACTTTACCAACGGAGATTACAGAGTAATAGCAAAAAAATTGGTTGCTATCTTACGCCATGAAAAATTTTAGAATTCACCCGCCTTCTCCTTCAATCTTTGTCAGTTTGGCATCACAAGGGGAAAGGAATCGTCAGCCAGAGTCACGGTATGGAGGCAATTCGGAGTCAGCAAGGCATACACAATGGAATCTACATACTCAGGGTTTGAAACCGGTGCATATAAAGGATTCCAGGTAGGATTAGACGTGCATAATTTGTGTGAAACCCTGAAATGCGAAAACTCTTTACAGATCGGCACAAAGGATCTCAAAGAAATAGGCCGCGATTTGTTATTAGGCATATTGGAAGCATGGAAGCTATCGCATCAACCACGCAAACAAAATAAGGGTAGCATGAAGAAAAAAGTAGTTGCTAAAGTTGATATCGCAGCTGGAAAACATTAGAAAATTGCTATGATTCTTAAAGTTAAACTACTTAACCTCTTTTCAAATCTCTGTTCTTTGGGAAATATCCCAAAATGGTGCCGAGAAATTAATGTATTGTATCTAATCATTTCTATGTGCCAATCTTCATCTTAGCCATTTTTTGTACCTTTAAAGAATGAAATTAAGTTGTTTGTCCGAGAAGTTACTTTAGAAAAGTATGTATTTTGCGAATTCAGCTTTCTATAGCACTTAACTAACCAAATGTTTTTATAAGTCTAATCTGGGAACTCTTCTGATAAGGATCTCTAACTTATGTCCTGCATTTTATTTTTTACTAGCGAAGAATCTGTTGGGGCAGTGATAATTTAGATCTCTAGAAGTACTTTTTGGTGTCAATTTGAATAAATATTGTACATAACAAACAGTGAATTTTAAAAGAATTTATTCTCAAATTTTCTACAACTATCACAGGGTCGAACTATAGAGTTTGGGCAAGATGATCCTCCATAGGTTGCTTTCTCCTAACAAAAACTTTATCTCAAATAGATCGCTATCTTGACAGTGAAATTAAGGAATCACAGAAGCACCCGTACGTATAGATAAGGCAGCGACAGTCTAGCGCTTCTATAATTTACTTTCGTATATACAATTGGCGTTCGAAGAGTCATGAGTGGTTGATTGTTGCTGCCGTCGTTAGGAACAGCTAGTCTAAGAACCCGCTATGAACGATATTTCTCCTGCATGGGAAAAGATCCTGGAGTCGCCTTGTCACATTCGGCACATTCTGTTTTCCCACCGGGAAGTGTGAGAGAGAGCAGTGGTAAGAAGAAGAATGTCGCGAATATCCAACTGGATACTGTTTGTACGATGAGAAATACTCCTACCTGAAAAATTAACAATGTGATGGAGCTAAAAGTAAGCAATATAAATTATTTTTGGCACAGGATAGACATCCCATTTTGAAGGTTAAGGGAAAATCAACAACACTCGATTGCCTACATATTTAGCAATGGCGGACCTCCAAATATAGGGATATGCTCGAACGGAGAAAATAATTTCTTGTATCCATAAATAATAAATTAATTTTTTTAAAAAAATAAGTGAAATTTTTGGAAGTTCTGATTGAGCGCGAGAAAAGGGGCGTGTCCCAGCCTCCGTTGTGCCACGCCCCTTATTCGCACCCTCATCGTTGGAATCTAGTTATCTTGGGGATGTGGTTACATATTTCTCCCTTTGCTCCGTTCCGTTCTTCTATGAGCTCTTAAAAAGTTCAGTTTATCCCTTAACGTTTCGCAATTTATTCACTCTTTTACTACTTTTTAAATGGGAATTTTCGTTGCTTTTGGCACAAAGATATTACTGAAATCACTTAAGTAGCTAAAAATAGGTAACATACCTGCGAAAAAGCATGCGTCTGTGTAAAAAGCATTGATGCTCCGGCAAGAAATGAAGTGAACGCAGAAAGTGTTACTGGTACTGTGGCAAGATTTGCTGCTCGTTGAATTCTATGCGATTTGCATCCTGTCGTTGGCAAAGCTGCTCCATAATGTAGAGTGTAGTCGAATGAAAGACCGACTACGAGTACAAGAATCACCGCTTCCAATACTCCAATCTCCCAACCCAGTAAAGCTACACAGCCAACCGATGTAGCTATGATACATACACAAGTAATCACTGCAGCTATGGCCTTAAATGCGCAATTTTGAGATTGAAGAAGGTTTTTCCTTATCGAAATGCGGTTACCTGCATTTTTAGCTGAAGTACAGCAAAAAGAGCAACCACGGAAACCGATACGATCACAGAAGAGCGCACATCTGATACTATTGAATGCTGTAGGTCGTACCTGGAAAACTTGTTCAGCTTATTTGTAGCTACAGAGAATCTGATCAGAGTTTACTTCAAATTATATAAAATAAATAGACGCTTCTTCAATTTTTCGACTAGTTTTCAGTCCTATAAAAATATTTTTTTTCAAACTTCTTATCTACTAGCTTGTTAACTTCTATTTCAAAAAGAATTCAAACAAATAAATATACAAAATTCCCTAGAAATGATGTTCAGTTTACAGA